TCAGACCTTCAGTATTAGACAGCCTCTCCTTTGGTTACATACAGCTGCAGGCATTGGGTGGGACTCTGTGGCTGCAAATACCTAAGAGGAAACACAGAGAACAATGCCAATATACAAGTGGTGAGAGGCTCTGTGCAATGTTATGTAATGCTACTGACCTCTTTTATGGGGCAGCTGGAAGACAGTTACCTTCTGAACATGTTAGTTGGATAACAGAAAAACAGATTAATGAAAGCCTTTGTTAAAATCCACTTGGAAGCAGTCCAGATGTAATCATCTCCCTTCTGCTCTTCCTTGAGCACTGGATAACTCATCACATGAGTATTTATGGCCTGGTGGCTGTTTCTGCACAGATCTTTAGTCTGCTGTTAAGTCTGAGATCTTCCTATGTAGCCAAGTAAAATCACTAACGCTTTGAGTCTAGTAAGGAGAGAAAGAGGAGAGAAAGAAAGGAAAAGACAGGGGCAACATATTAGAGACAAGTGAGAGATACCAAGTTAAGGAAACTCTAGAACATTATCCAGATCTCCTGTGATCCGGGCACAGGACAAGGCATCATACAGGCATGCTTGTGGTAGTTCAGGCAGCAGAACAATACCAGGTCTCCCAGGTAACAACTGTACACAGTGAGCAATCACAGCATTTGACACACTGCAAATCCATCGGCTGGAATTTGTTCAGGCAAATGACTCAGCCACAACTGATGAATCAAACACACTCTCAATTAGCAAACTCAGTAAAACCGTAATCAACGTGAAGATTGTTAGCACCACAACATCTCCTCTTCCCCAATTAGCTTCATTATTCTCATAATTTTTTTTTACTTGTCAGTGATCTTTATCACTGAAGTTTTGATATTTTAAGACAACTGCTTGGATGACCCAGATAGTCATTAAAACTTGTATACACTGTTGCTGCTAAACGTTTCTCCCATATTATGGCTGGGTGTGGTGGGAATATCCAAAATAATGACCTCATCTTGTGGTACATAGGGAATAATCACAGCCTACCTAAACAAACCCACAGCTGTTCAGGTAGGCTGAGTTGTTTGAACCTCGGTTGCAAGCTGCAGGGCGAGACAAGTGAGGATGAGAAATGATCACCATGTAAGTTATCAGAATGAAACAACTCTAAACCAAACTGAGCTGTGCTACAGGTCTGCAAATCATATTTCCAAATTTTGAGATCTCTGCATTTTTTCTTTGATTTGAACTTGATGCCCAGGATAACAACTATGTATATAATGGCAACAGTACTTAAAGTGTTTGTTTTCCTGTCTGCCGTCTCCAGTGCTGGGGTCACCCTTTTGCACACTGCTGAATGAATGCATCTGAATAAGCCTGCAAAACAGGAAGAAGTTGCACTGCATAGAAGGTAGGTCATACACTGTGTACAATGCAGGTATCCAATCTCCTAGGCTACAATGAGTGCCTGGTCATCTCTGCTCACAGAGAACAGGTCAGATACGAGGCTGAAAAGAGCAATGTCCTACTTGGTCCCTTTGGATAAACAAGCTTTGATCTCAGCCAAATAGCTCGGGATCAAGAAGAACTTTGTTAGGCACTTGTTGTGCTTGTATGGCTGATGAATGGAGGCTGGCAGATGATGTGGAGAAGGAAAAGCTGATGAACAAAACTGCCCAAACACCAAGGGAGGCCTGGAACTGTGCAAACAGCAACAGACAGTCCTGGTTCATCACAACAGATCAATACATAGGAAGGCGAAACAAGATACAGAAGATCCACCAGACATAACCAGACACCAGGGAGGAAAAAAACCCTGCTAGTCCAGTCCTGCACTTATCTTTTCCATGACAGCAAGAGAAGTCCCCTGTCCACCACTCAGCCAGCTTCTAGCTAGGCAGGGCCTTTCACCTCATGATTTCGGCTAGTATTTTCCAGTGGTTTTGCTCCTTGGCTTTGCCTGCTGGTAACACTGACATTAGACATTTGAATAAATAATAATTAAAACACACTGGCATTCAGTTTTGCAGTCAGAAGCATTTTTCCACCACAGGAATCTAAGCTGCTTGCCAGTCATCCACAATCTTGTTTGGCAAAAAAGAGAGGGATTAAAAAATAAACACAGAGTAGTCAGATTTGTAGTGGCTACCTGTCTCCTGTATATTATTTCTCCAAGAAGTACAGAATATTGTTTGGAGTGATTCTGCACACAGCATTTTCTACCTGCTGCCTGTGGCCTGAAATGCCAGGGATCTGAATCAGGGTCAGCCTCCTGACACAGCAGAATGACAGGCATGTTTAGGCACATGTTTGACTGTGCCTTGCTCATTTTTCAGATGGACAATTTAAAGGGAAGTCCATACAAGAAGCAGGCATTTGATTTGGATGTAATTACCTCAAACATTTCCAAAGGTACTCTTGACTGAGTCACAATACCTCCCACTACCCAAAACCTTTAGATGTTTATGTCTAAAGCTGGAGTCAGGAGATTTACCCTTCACAGTCAAAAGTGATGCACTCCAACAGTGCTGTAAAACAATTCTATAAACAATAACAGCTCAGCTCTGAATCACTGGAACGTAGTGACTAACTTCTGGTGGAAATTAAAACTTACTGCCTTGCCCACTTTTCCTTCTTACCTCAGAAAAAACAGGAACAAACTAAATCTGGTCTGCCTTAAGTGTGCACCCAAGAAGAGAAGAGCTAGAGCACTGACCATTTATAGCAATAGCTTGAAAGAAAAGGCTGTGATTGACAGGTAAAAAATTACAATATTTTTTATCGTCAGTATTAGCTCCAAAACCATACACTGTGCAAAACCACTGCAAAAATTCTTGCTTTGGTGTACAAGAAATTAAGAGAGAAAAAAAAAGCAAGAACAATGTACAGAATAGATCTGGTTGACAGACATTCCAAAGGCAAAATTATTACGGGCTATTATCTAGTTGTCTGGAGGAGCCGTGGACCAGCTGGCTGTGATGTTCTGCTCAAACTTAAACACAGACAGGAAACCACATGTCTGATACTGTAAAAATCGTTTGTCTTCCTGCCACGGCTAAGCAGGCAAGCAACCCAAAGGGGCTGTTTTCATTTAAAAGAAACACTAATGCACAACAATAAAAAAAGAATGAAAAAGCCTCAATTCTCCCCCTCCCAACTGGAGCTAATGCTTGTATTTGTGAATGAACTGGAAATGTTACAAACTGAAATTTTATATTACTTTCTTTTTTATCTGTGGTTATTCACTTATTACATGTGAATGTAATACAGTTTTCATGAGTCACCTACAGTGCTTAAAGCACGTGACGTAGGAGGAAAAACTCCATGCCAAGGAGTGAAAGGAATTAGAGTAAAAACAGTGGGTTTTAATTTATACTACAGCTCCTTTTAAGCTGCTCTGGAAGTGTGAGGGGTGCTGCAGACTTGATGGGAATGAAGGCAGCTGGTGTTGAATTTATAAAATGGTTTTCATAATCATACACAAGACATGCATTTGTTAGAATGATTGCATACATCTACATAGCTCCAGGAGAAACAGCTGTAACGTGGCTAATTTATAACAAATTAGCCAAAATCCACAAGGGTGTGGTTCACTTTGTATAAAAACTCTAGACAGCTGATGGAATAAAAACTTTTCTTTGGTAACACATTGTCTTCAAAAAAATCAAGGCAATCTGTCAGAATTAGGTCCTCTGTCTACCACCTGGGCTCACATCAATACCAGTATTTACTTCAACTCCTTTAAAGCCCACCTAAGTGAGAGTTAGTCATATAACTATGGATCAGTAGTCAGGTTATCTGATTTCAAATAAAGATTGGAGTGTGACTGGATGAGGAAGAGGGGAGGAGGTGGCACCAGATATGGATAGACTGGGCCAAGGGAGGCAAAGACTTTCTAGCTCACTCAACTAATCTGGTGTGGTTTTGCAACCAAAACTAGTTTGTCCTCTTGGAGGGCTGAGAAGAGAGCTAGAAAGCACTCACATAGCTGTCCACCTCATTGCAGTCACACATCACATTTCCCAGAAGTGGAAACAGCTTCCCAACCCTTCATTATCTCAGGTAATGAGGATTTGATTATATCCTTTTCTGAGGAACTTTCAGGTGATAAGGATGGGTTCTGCGTGCTGTACTCATTTAGAAGTGTGTGCACATAAATTTCTCCCCAGGAGGCCTCACACTTGCCTCCAAGAGACCTGACAGTCTCAGTGAAAGAATCATTGTGAGATTCAGCAGGTAGAAGAAATAAAAGTGTGGGGGGGGGGGGAGGTGTGTGTGTGCACATGCACGTCTGTGTGCAGTGTGTAGTCCACCAGCACTGTACACACCTGCACTGCCTTCACTGTGTTTGCAACAGTCTGTATAGGTCTATATAGCCTTTACTTCATGAAGTAGAAAGGGGACAGGTTATACACTTGTGATTTGGCCTATACTCAGATTTCACTGGTTTAACTGAAACCATATACACGTTCTTATGCTATAGTACGCATGAGGTAACATATCCACTAGTGAAGGAGCGCTACTTCACACCCCCCCACAGAACAACTGCAAATGGTCAGTTACAATAGAGAAGCTGACTTTAAATTCACATCCAATCAAGTTACTCACCCATATCTTGTATAAACAGATGTCACACTATGGCAAAACAGCCTTTTAGAAGAGGCAAGACCTTAAATATGGCATTTGCCTCTTGATTTTTTTTATAATGTAATTAGCGTATGTTGTATTTTCTTGTGTCAACAGAACAGCTCTAAACATCTTGCTTTCATCTTTCTTTGCATCAGCTTTTAAGTGCAGTGTCTCAAGCTGAATATCAGACTTACTTCAAAAGGAGGAGGACAGGCTGGCAGGAAGAAATATCCTCTGAACACAGAAAAGAAAGGTTGAGGTTTGGCAAGACTCAGAAGAGACCAAAATAGCTCCTGCCACTAAAAGTTTTCCTCCACAAAATGTGATTCCAAACTCCACCGCTATGACACAGTTAATATTAACTTTCAAGGTATAGCCTAGGAATGCAGTGTAAATTATCAAACGTACCTGATGGAAAAATGAGCATATCATTGCATTCTTCACCTGTACAGGAACACATGAACATCAATCCCCCATCTTCCTTCTTTTCCCTCATCAAACACTGCTCTGAGCTGGAGTCATCCAGCATATGACCATACAGTGTTTTCTGGGGATCATGGCATATTGTTTCTAATGTCACATTTTCATCATTCTGTCTCCTAAAAAATGAAAAAGAGAAAACTGAAAACAAGGAAGGAATATTTAATAAAGGGAGCAGACAGTATTGCATCTTCCCCAAATTTGCCTCTTTTGAGAACTCAAATTAGTATCATTCTGGCATAAAAAATCCAGAATATATTCTAAATTGCACTACAGGCACTTCATATGGCACTAATAGGCACTGACCACTTACTAAAGGGGCACAGGACAAACATGGAACAGCACGCTGGACTCATCCTACATTTCAAGTGTCTACTTCCAATTACGCTGAACATCTCTTTGAGTCAATGAACACAACTAATCCCTTAATAAATGAATTAAGTGGTTCTAATTCTGTTCCTAAATCTGCAGCAATGTTGCAAATACTCAGTTCTGTTCCTTTTGTCCACCTATGAAGTTATTATGAGTGTTTCTGGCTTTCTCTGGTAGGATTGGCTTACCATTCACAGAAGGACAAGACTCCAGTTTTTAGACTGGAATGCAAGTTTAGGGTCAATGAATCCGAAAAAAAAAGTGTAACAACTCGATTTCATACACTTTTGATTTCTTTGAACCTAAACATAAAAAAGCACCACTCCTGCATCAGAGTCATAACAGACACAGGGTTTTTTTTACCAATAAGAAAGTATTTGTACCTATACATGTTGAGTAAGCTTACTGTGATAGATCTACATAATGTTGTTCACTTTGAAACCTCAGAGACAATTGTCTTTCTTCAGCAAATTCTACTGTAATCCTCTCTGAGTCTCAAAACTGCTTCTATTCTCGGTGCTGTGGGCAGATGCAGCTTAATGGTTTGAACAAAACCATGCCTCTTTTCCAACAAAAGCATAAGCTGGAACAGAAATGCTTTAGAAGAACACTTCATATTAGAATTGTTGTTAACTTCAAACAACTCTCAGTATGCTGAGCACAGATATGAGTTGGAAGTAAGAGAGCAAAGCCCTGTGAGGTAGCAGGGACATTATGAATATCAGAGCAATCAAGGAAAGTACTAAGTAATGATGAATGAGGGTATGCTCCCCTCTGCACCTGTATGAAGAAATAACTTACCATATAGCAACACAGACTTCACTATTCTTCTCACAAATAGAAGTGATGTTGCAGTTGCTCTTGCACTGATGTTGGTTTGAGCAGGTTGTTACTTTGATGTCACAAAATTTGCATAGATTTGGCAGTTGTAATCCATTTTCCTTAGTTCTGTCTACAGGTGACATAATTTCAGCTTAAGGAAAAAAAAAAGAGAAAGAAACTCAGTAATGGTTGTTTATCAGCTTGTGTTATTGCTGATTACGAAGACAACTTTTTCAGCAGTAGCAAACATTTCCTCACACCTTAAAGTGGAAAATCTTTGATCTTTCACTGCCAATTTTCTTTACAACAAGCCAAGTGCCACAGTGTCAAGACCAGGTTAATCAAAGTGAATTTGAAAAGTGAAGTCAACTTCTACTGACTACACAGGGAGCAAAAGTTGCTTTGCATTTTGCAGAATCAAGCTTACTGTGAGTCAGGTTTGCACTGGAATAATTACTCTGCAGCCACCCATTTGCATTATTGATAGGCAACATATCTGTCCCCTATGTACAGTATATCACATTGTGGTCTGTGTGCCAAAGTAACTGTGCATACCAGAGTGGGAATGCACATTAGATGGGTGGCATTATGACATGGATCATGATGAATTGTGCCAGTTTATGTTAACTAACCTGAGGCATTACATAGGTGCTGTCCCTGTGTGATTACTGTTCACACAGAAAAACACAGAGCTGGAAGTTACCTTCAACCTAAGGTAGGTGGTCTGCAAGAGGTTATGGGTGAAAGTCAAGCTGGAAATGCAATAGGGGATCTGTGAAGCTCATGTAAACTGTTCCTGGAGTCTTCCTGAGCTAACTCAAGGGGGCTTGAACTCAAACTAACTTGCCTTGTAGAAGTATACTTTGACCCCAACAGCTACATTTCTGCTCCCAGGCATTGAAGAATTACTTGCTTACTGGTTCCAAATCTTAGTACTCACCATCTACTTCAGTGTGGGGCAGGGAACAGATATTTTTTGCCCCAGTGTATGAATTTCAGGAAATACATTTTTAGTTCCAAATTTTTTTTAAAAGCCAGCATGACTACAAGGAACAGAAAATGCCGATGTAAACTTTTTTCTAATGCTAAAATGAATATACAACTATCTGAAGTGGAGCAGGTTATCTACAACGGTTTCAGTCTGACTCACTTTGTAACATACTTGGAAAGTAGCTTGAACCACTTTAAGGAGACACCGGGCTTCACACAGTGCAGCCCTTCTCTTGTAGCCACCTGTGTGTTAAAACTATGTTCACATTGCTCCCTGTGGGAAAATGTTGCTAGGCAATCAATAACAGGCAACAAGGGATTTGTAATTTCCCCCTCTCTCATGCATTAGCTGAGAAAGAAATTTTTTCCTTCTAGAACTTCACTATTTACTACTATTAGAATGTTTTATTACAGAAATTAAATATATATGCTTTTTCTAGAAGGAAATTAAAAGGCCTCTTGCTAACATTTTAAATGGATTTCTGAGCCATTTTGAGGGACTGAGAGACAAGTCTTCCCTCTTTATCCAAATCACAAATCCTTTTCATCACTAGCACGCTCTGATACTGACCCTAGGTCTCTGATCTTAGTGACATTGTAATCAGTGGCAAACTCCCAACGATTTCAGTGGTATAGAAGAAGCTCCTACACAGAGGGGAGGGTTATGATGAACTCACTGGGAGCACTTGGGTGGAGAATGCTGGCAACATGTTACAGGCTAGCTGAATTTTAAGCCCCAGATAGACATTTCTTGTTCTTAATTATTCCCAGAAGCCACGCAGAAGAACCTCATTGAAGTAGGTGTGGGAGGAACTCAAAAGTAGTGTCCTATAAAATAAGTGTTAATATAATCATCATTATGGCAAATTGCTCCTCTCTTCTGGATGGTACCTTTCATTTACCACATGCTGAAGAGAAACTAATAGCTGTGGTGATATATCTAGATTCCAGTAATGATCAAAACAACCTGATCATGAGGGACTGTCCCCTACCCAGTAAGAGGCACTTTCTGGCCCTAAAAGCTTGGATGAACAATACAGACAAATATCAAGGGAGAGATGAAGTGACTCACCCAACTTCACAGAGAAAACCTGTGGCAGGATGCCAAGCAGCTCACAACTTAGGACAGGGGAAAGACATCTGTTGCTCAAACTGCAAAGACTCTAGCTACATCTAGACTGCTTTCAGCTCTGAGCTCGTATGACTCTGTGTTTCACTGGGCAGCTGTGTGGCAATGGATGACTGCCACAGCCACGACTCAATCCTCTCTGGTGCCTGCAGCACTGGAGCCAAAAGCCACAGGAAGGTGGGTCTTTAGGTAAACTAGTTCAAGCACAATATGTTTGTTGAGAGGCAGGGCTCGTTCCTGTGCCATCCCCGGCCACCCTGGGTACTGCCAAGACTCACTCACTGGAATAAATGGATGAAAATATGTTTGGACCCCTTCCAAGGAGGGATCTCCAAACTATCTGGAAGCAGCAATACACTGCAAGGTCACAAACCTTATGTTTCTATGTTACAGTGATAGGCCTTAATTTAATTACTAGCAAAAGGCTGGGTAGTTAGGGCCAGCTAATTTCTGAACAGGTTAAATTAATGTAAAAAATCTAATGGGGTTTTAGGACTCCCAAAACCAACTACCTTCGAATTTTCTGCCCAGAATCCTTGTAATAAGGGTTGACAGTGTAGTGCCTCTCTGCTCATGCCACTGGTAGTTCAAACTACTGGATAAACTGTCCAGGTGGACAAACTTCCTTCCACATTCCAGCATCTGACTTAAAGTGAGGCTGCAGTTTACCTTCCCTAATACTGTCACATTACTTAGCAGGTATTGGAGTTTTGTTCATTAATACAGCTCGGCCTTTCCCATTGTGATAAATTGTCTAGTACTAAACTAAAGGCACATTTGATTTTCTCCTGTCAGGCTGATGCTGAAATTCTGCTATCAGACTGCTGTTGAAATCAACCTCTGCAAAGAGCCCAAGATGAAATCTGGAGTTGGATGTGAACCTCAACATCACTCTTCTGATCACAGCCTGCTACTAAACTCTGAGGACTTTAAAATCCAGGAAAGGCTGGTCTGCCTCCAAGTCACATGAACTCAGACCTATCTCTAAGAAACAAAATCCTGCCTGGAGAATACAAGTTTGTAGGGTTCTTCCCAGGGAAGTGTATTCACTGATTCCCTGAGGGGCCCACAAGCCACAAGTGGTTCGCTACCAGTAACATTGCTCCTCTTTTTGTGATCGCTTGAATGTCCACCTCTAAAAATGCTTGAGTATCCTATGGCATACTTCATAGCCCATGAGCCAATTCCTCAAGGTTTTCTCCTGTTCAGATAACCAGTCACTGGAACACTGTGCACAGAAGCAACCTTTCATTTTGCATGAAAAACAAAAACAAAAGTGGCTATAATGGGAAAGTCAATGGAGGAAACACAGATTTGCACATCTAAAGGAAGCCATCCTGAAATGTGTGCCTGTCTCCTACAATTTGAGTTTTGCCTTCTGCTCTTTGGTGTTAGTTTTCTTATTTTGACATCTACAGGAAGCCTAATTCTAGCTTTCCTTGCTTCCTTGTCCATGGAGAAGGCCCTAAATAAAAGGCTGTGGTTTCTTGGCTATGAAGCTTTCAACCAAACAGCTCAGCACAGATCAATCACTGCGGTTAAAATGCATGGAACATGCAATCCAACATGTGGGCTAGGTATTCTGGAAGAGACACCAGAGCAGCCACATAAGAAATACAAACGCTCCATCCCTGGTGGTGCTCAAGGCCAGGCTGGACAGAGCCTTGGGTGACATGGTTTAGTGGGAGGTGCTCCTGCCCATGGCAGGGGGGTTTGGAACTAGATGATCTTAAGGTCCTTTCCAACCCTAACTATTCTATGATTCTATGATAAACTCCATGGATTCTAGTGAAGCCAGCATTGCAGGACAAGCCTTTTACTGTATGGTTCATGTCTTCTTTATGATTTAGCAGGATCTTAGTATGCCTCACCCAAAGTCTACTGACAGTCTTGAAGTTGTTTGCCTTGTTTCTGTTGTTTATAGATGTGCAATTTTAACTGAGGCCTCAGCCTATAGTTTGCATTCCTCTTATTTTTCAGTACCACTACAGAACTCTCAAAAGCCAACAACATTTAAATAAAGCCTAAAACAATATGCTGTCTTTTTGGGAATATCTACACTGGAAAACTTTATGTATGTCTTAGGATATATTTCAGGAAGAGCAGTCAATTTCTCTTACTACTATCCTGTAAAAAATACTGCATTTCTATTCTCTCATCCAGTGCCTCTGGCACATGTATACATATAAAACAGCATTGTTGAACAGATAGAACTCCTCCCTTAAAATAAAAAGACATTGGATGAGAGACATTGGGATGGGAACTCAATTATTCAGCTGCTGTGAAGTAATTCCACCTGGTGGGAGAGACTTGAATTTAAGACTTCACTACATCATGGAAATCTGCAAGACAGAGGATGCCTCTATCAGAAAGCCTTGAAGAAGATTGTCCTTGTTCTGCCAACGAGCACAGCTCCACAGCATTGTATCTCAGTGACTGTAAAGCACAGTAGTAGCTGTGAAGAACATCCAAGCTGTATTACCTTCTTATCCAACACAAAGACAACAGATTTTGCCAGCAACAATACTAAACACAGTATTTTTTTCTATTTTGCCTACCAGCCCCAGTACACGATCTGTAAACTTAGTAGAACTTTGATAGCAATAGGGACACTGCCAGCACCATGAAAGTGGAGAGGTGATGATGCAAAGACACATTCTTTGTCTTACAAATAGTGATGAATTAACTGCAGGAAGGAAGAAGCCAAGAAAAATGTGTGATCCAAGCATTACTGGATTACACTGGATATATCCTAATGGTTATTCTTAATCATACCGATTATCTTCAGTGTAGTAATACAAGGAAGAAGACATAGAACCATAATCAACCCCAAAAATTAAAAAATCATGACTTAAAAATCGTAAGACTAGCCAGAGAGATCATGGAAATAATGGAAGGGAAAAATCCCAACCCAACCAACCAAAACACCCAACCAAAACTGGGTTCTTTTTTATTTGCTCCTGCCACCTGGACTCTTAGAGTGCTTTGGAGTCATGTTATGAAACTCTGCCTGTAAGCAGGAAGGTTGGAAT